CAAAAGCAACACCTGGACCATCCGGTTGTCGATCTCACCGAACCACCGTTTACCCGAGTCCTCCGTTCGCAGTAAGTAAAAGATATTTGGACCTAGAAATCAGCGACTGGTGTTTAGCGCTCTCTCGTTTACTCTGGCAATGCGGGTTCCGGTGTCCGGCAGACGTGGCCCAGGGATGCTAGCCGACAGGAGGGGCAAGAGTTCCATGGCCGTGCTCGAGTTTAAAGCTAGCTTGTTTTGCAGATTTGCCATTGCAGCTTAAATTGCATATACTTGTCTGATAAAAAAAAAAGGTTTGAATTAAATTTGTCCTGTGATGAAAATATGTTTAGGTTTGGGCTGTATATTGGGAAGAATCTGGCGATAGGATATATATCACTTCCGACACATCCAGTGTGAAAATCTCATTATTTCGTCGTGATGAAGGCAGTAAAAAACTTCTGCCACCTAGCTGCCAGAGTTTGAATAGCATCATATGGATTCTCTGTAAAAACACAGATGCACTACTATTAATGTCAGTTCAGTATCATGACACAAAATATTGCGATATTTCAGTGTATAATATTATCTTATATCCTTAAACTACTTTAAAATTAAAATATATAGGAGTTAAATAACTCAATTATAAATCTTATTTAACTCCTGGTTTTCACGTATTCATGGCTGTTTAGCAATGATTTTATTTCTATTCACGATCATTTTAGAGAATCTGAGCATAAAAATATTCAGAAATTTTGCTGCAGATTCCCCTTGCCTGCCTCCACAGCCACGACACATCACTGACTGACTTCTGTACTAATTTAAACACCATTTTATTTGACATTAAGATCATGTTCATGTCCTCATTTGGAATTCACTGCATGCTAATTCATTATTAGCCTCACAGGTAGTCCAGGCACAGTGTGTCCCCGAGCGTCAGACAATACGGCTTTCTAATTTTAACCCTTTGATGCATAATGGTCACTACAGTGGACAGGTACTCAAAATTGTTATTTATTTGTTTTTGCTATTAAGCACAGCTGTTGAAGACTTTATTGCATTTGAGCCCCTCCATTTGGACTTCAGTAAGCCAAGCCAACAAATTTCATGCTCAGAATGCATGCTGCCCACTGAGGTGGACATGTAATAAAGTATTTGTAATTATAAAATTTTACAAAAAATATTTGTTGAAATTTGTTTCATTCACACCTAAAGATGAATGGAAAAAATTGTTAAAAAAATCATGGTTGAAGATTTCATAATTCATGCATCAAAGGGCTAATACAGGAAACCTGCTGAGTGCAGAAATTCTTCAAGAAGTCGGTCCATTTTCAAACCGCATGCTTGTGATTAAAAGAACTCGAGCACTTGTTCAGTGAAAGGAGCCAATAAACACAAAATAATGACAGAAAGGAGCTCAAATTGCCTTTTGAAAGTAGCTGAAGCTCAGAGAAAAGAAATGTTGTTTACAGATGGCTGATTTTTTTAAGCAGAATAATTTAAAGACAGTTTGTTCTCTTGATATTTTGTTGTTTGTGTTTTTAAATCTCTATTGATGCCATGTAAGAATTAGATTTTAATTACCTAAAGACCAACTTCCTATACTTGCATAAACATGCATTTAAACCATTTTGTTCGGGTAGTTTGTAGGATTTCTGCAGTGCATTTAGTTTAAAAAAACATAATTGCAGAAACAATCCATAGCTGAGGCTGCCTGCACTGCAGAGCTGTCTGCATTATTAGTCATCTATTCAACTCTAGTGCCTTAATCTGCATTTTAGTCTGAAAAAACAGGATTACCAATCTATCATCTTTTAAGTTCTTGAAAAAAATAGAAGATGTAGCATGATGAATT